GAGTGTGTGAGTGTGTGTGTGTGAGTGTGTGTGTGTGTGGGATTGTGTGTGTGTGAGTGTGTGTGTGTGTTTGTGAGTGTGTGTTTGTGAGTGTGTGTGCTGTGTGTGCACTGTGTGTGCACTGTGTGTGTGAGTGTGTGTGTGTGAGTGTGTGTGTGTGTGTGTGTGTGTGTTTGTGCACTGTGTGTGTGAGTGTATGTGCGTGTGCACTGTGTGAGTGTGTGTGTGTTTGTGTGTGTGTGTGTGAGTGTGTGTGTGCGCACTGTGTGAGTGTGTGTGTGTGCACTGTGTGTGCACTGTGTGAGTGTGTGAGTGTGTGTGTTTGTGAGTGTGTGTGCTGTGTGAGTGTGTGTGAGTGTGTGTGTCAGTGTGTGTGTGTGTGTTTGTGAGTGTGTGTGAGTGTGTGTGTGTGTGAGTGTGTGTGTGTGTTTGTGAGTGTGTGCGTGTTTGTGAGTGTGTGTGTTTGTGTGTGTCAGTGTGTGTGTGTGTGTTTGTGAGTGTGTGTGTTTGTGTGTATCAGTGTGTGTGTGTGTGTTTGTGAGTGTGTGTGTTTGTGTGTGTCAGTGTGTGTGTGCACCGCCTGCCTGTGCCACGGGCACACCTGGAGACCCATAAGGGCTGTGCCAAGGGCTCCATGGATCCACTGAAATCCCAATTCCTCTGGGGGATGCCCAGTATGGACATGAAAAACCAGCCCTGGTGCCTCCTGGCTGGCTGGGAAGGGCCAGAGCCAAGGTGCAGAGCTGGACTGGTGTGAGGAGGAGGAGGGTGATGAAGCACAAAGTACCTGGAGGGGGAAACAGGAGCTGAGCTGCATTTCCGCTCCCCCTCTGAGCTGGGGGGCGTAAGCAAAATTGGGAGAGCAGAGGGTGCCCTGGGAAGAGATCTGGCTCAGCCCTGGGGCTTTAAATTGCCTCTAGGTCCTCCCTTGGGCCTCTCCTTCATCCTCCCCTTGCTCCTCTTGCCCTCTTGGCATTGTCTCACTGGCCCCAGGTCCCAAACTCGTGCTCTTGGCTCCTCTTGTCCCTCCCAGCCGGTGTTGCTCATGTCTCTTCTCCAGTGATGGTCCCAGCTGACTGAGAGGAGCCGGCTCAGGGTCCCTGCTTGGGGTTCTTGGGGGTCTCCAGGTGACCCCCCACGCACACACAGGCTCTCCTGGGGACTGTGCTGCCTTTCTCTTTGTTTCTCTCCATCCCCTGAGCCACAGAGGGCTGAGGCAACAGGACTCACCTTGTCCTGGGAAAAACTCACCCCCGTGCCCAGCCACCTCCAAATCTGGGCACGGCCCTGGCAATGACAAGATGAGCCAGTCCCACCAGAGCTGAACCCATCTGTCCATCCCTTTGCCCAAGCAAGAGCTTGGATCCCCAGAGGAAATCTGGCTGAAGGCCTTCAGGAGACTTTTCCAGCTGTGTTCTGCCAAGGCTGACAGCTTCTTCCCTTGGGAAGGTCCTTCCCCATCACCCAGCGATGCACGACAGGGTTCAAAGCTCCTTCACTGCACACCCCAGCTGCAGGCACAGCAGGACACTGCTGCTGTCCCCGGGGGGGTGGCATCCTCCTGGCACTGCCACTGCTGCCAGGTCACCCCAGCTGGCAATCCAGGCTCGGGGACCTCAGGGAGGGCTGACGCCTGCGCTCAGGAAGGCGGTGAGCTCACGGGTTTAATTTTCTCAAGGCTTCGTTGGGCTCTGACATGTGATCCTCGCTACAGGAAGGACGCGGCGAATGCATCGTCCCCCGGGGCTGCCTGGCTCGACCTTGTGGGAAGAGGTAAGAGCACAGCATGGCTTTTCCGCCCCACTGGTGTCGCTTCCAACAGCAATTTAATATCTCCCTGATAACCCAGGCCGAGTTTCAGGCACCGTTAAAAAAAATAAAGCATCTGCTGATAAAAGTCGATGTCCTCAGTTGAAATCCCCGGTGTGAGTCTGCATGGCTGGCCCCACACTGCAGCTGTCCATCTCCAGCTCCACACCGATCCCTGTCCTCTGGCAGGACCCTGATGCCCTCCTGGAGAGGACAGGGGGACCATGGGGACTCACAGTGCAGGGACTGTCACCCCTGAGCTCTGTGCCCAGTGGAGGGGGAACGTTCACCAGCCCCATCTGGGACACACTGGGAGCTGTGGCAGCTCCATCGCACCCCATGGCAAAGCTGCCATCACTGCCCCTCTTCCCTCCCAGCATCCCGGACATCCCCCCGTGCTCCCACCCATGGGGCAGATGTACAAAGGCTGTCCCCAGCCGAGGGAAGGTCTGGGACGCTGCCTTTGGATGTGCACAGGCTCCTTGCTGTGGATCAGCAGGGGCTGCAGGGGCTGGGGCTCACTTTGGATGGAGCAGGACCGGGGATGGGCTCAGCCCTCAAGGCCGGTCTGGCCATGCACCTTTCTCCAGGTGCAGCTCTCTGCTCCTGGCACCGTGAGCTCGCTTTCCTGGTTCCACTTGCTGAGCTTGGTTTCCCCAATTCGATTTTCCAGGCTTCTTTCCGTAGGCTCAATTCCCTGTGCTCACCTCTGTGAGCTCTCCAGCACCTCCTGAGTGGAGGTTCCTTGGGCACGGCTTGCTCGACACGGATGTCCAGGCTGGGTTCTCAGGCACACCTTGCCAGAGGTGTCTCCCAGGCCTCGCTGCTGGCTCCCAGCTGCTTCCCGGGGCTCTCCCCATCAGCCCGGTGCCAGCAGAGGGCCTCCCTTACCAGCACAGCACCGTCTGGAAATTATAAAACGCATTATCTATTTGGCAAAACTTTGTGCAAGGATCAGGAAAAGGGCTGGAATCCGCTCTCCTCCAGGAGACCGGAGACAGCGCGTCCCCCCCGGCTTCTGTTTTCAATGCCAGCACTCAGCCGCGTTAAAGCCGTGGGAGCGTTCGTCATTAAAATGGCAATTGTGGAGCCAGGCAATAAATTTAACATCATAAAAGGCGCTGGGAGGGTCTCGCTCATCTGTTGCTCTTCAAAGAAAAGTGTTAGTTGCTTCCGAAAAAAACAAAAAAAATTGGGAAGAAGCAGGTGAGAAGGGACGGGGTGACGGCTCTCCCTGAGTGCTGGGGAGCTGCGGGGAGCTCGGCCGGGCAGAATTGACCTTTTGGGGTGCCCGTGGGGCTGGGGGCGCTGGAGGAGAGCAGGTGATGGGGTTTCCTCTCCGCGTGTCGCCGTGGGATGAGCAGGGCCGAGGGGCTGTGTGGGAACATCTCCCATTCTGCAGGAGATTCCCCGCCGGGGGGGTGAGGACACCCAGCAGGCAGGGTGACATCGGCCAGGGCTCCCGGCTGTGTCCCGCACCCCTGCGGCGCCGCTGGGTCCCCCTGGGCTGGGGCCACCCCGCTCCTGCCGCCGATAGCCATCATCTCCCAACGCCAGGCTCCGGCCGCCGGCGTCTGCCGGCAGAATTAGCCGTCGGATTGGAACCGTTCGCTAAATAATTCAGGAGATTTCTTCCTTCTTCTATTTTTTTTTTCCCGAGAAAGCTGTTTTCTTTCCTTTCCTTTTTTTTTATTTTTTTTTTTTT